TTAGGCAGGGCCACTCGGCTGTATGATGTTACTCTGAGTCCTTACAACACACTACGCCACCGGAGGTTCCGATGGTGGAAGACTGAGCCAACAAAAATGGATGCAGATTTTCCCAAGATAGTCTCTATCATAGATAATCACAGACAAACAAAACATGGAGGCACAGCTGGTCATTAGCTATCCTGAAAATCCTTGTGAAGTGAATGGTAATCAACGGACCATTTTCCTTATTTTGCTGTTTATTCAACTCTACCAGTGCGTCAGGGTATATGACCCGATTCTGCTTACTGAAGAAGCGGGACACCGACAACTTCCCACGACAAACGAAATTCGAGCAATTACCCATGAAAACCAGTCTACAGCCAGCCTTACGTAATTAGCTCTTTTCAGTCACTCGAATAAAGTTCGATTCTTTGAGTGGGTTCCGTCCGTAAATTTCATTCATCCTCCATGCAGCATAATGCTATAACGATTACGTTGATTAACGTGGATTATTCGAATGTGGGAACTAGACAATATATGTGGCGTTACAGAAAGAGCCAAAATATCCAGAGCTACACACTGATGGCCCGACTTCCATTTTTGCAGGATCGCATATCATATCTTCATCCTCTCCTCTACGTTCCAGAGATATTTCACCATATGCTAAGAAAATTTATCTTCGAAGGTCACAATGCAACATCATACGCTAATTCCCCAAATATGTCACGCTGGCAACATCCATATAATTCAACGTAAGGTCCCGTTCAAAAGCAAAAATCGTCAAATGGATCGTCAACATTCTACAAAACCAAATCCACCACCATCACTAGGCTGGACTTTGTACCCCCCCCCCCTCTCCATCCTCAACGGCTACTTGCGCTAGCTCCCAAATATAGCGAGGAACGGGATCATTCCCGTTCATAATTAGACACCCCCAAACGCTCAAAGTAGCACCGAATACCATTACGCCTTTCCATATCTCTATGCAAATAGCGTAGTTATGGCAACAATGGTTTCTTCACAGCTCCCCAGCATCTTGCAACACCGCTGAATTCCAACCATATGATCAAACATTTCACAGACGCAAACAGCGCCCAAGTTTGACACCCTCCGTCATCAGCCCACGAGCGTCGGCGGGCCATGACGGCGATCGGCCGAGCGACTGCGTCAGACTACAGACGTAAACACGGGCCGCGCGCGCGCCGCCCATCCGATCCAGTTGGGAGGGGAGCAGGGCGACGTATACGCCTTCAATGGCCGCCGACCTGCCGGGTGGGATCTCAGATGACTCATTCTTCGACTGCCTGTGGTCATTTACGCGTCTGGCGTATCTGAGGGAGCTACTATTACAGCAATGTGCATAGTTGCATGGGAGGCCTGATATTCAACCACAGTAAAGCAGGGGATGGAATGCCTCGGAATGTTGCGAGGCGCCGTCATTAGACACTGATAGCTGGCTAGTTTATCTAACCCTGGTAAATATTATGCAACCGGGGAGAATGAAAGACATTTGCAGATGAATTACAAGAGAAATGCGCGTGCCCTGAATGCCTAACTATACAGTTCAGCCGTACCGGCAGGCATAAGGGCAGACAGATATACATGAAACTCACTGAAGAGACAGAGCCATGTAGCACCAGCGAAAGCTGCACTATTGCATGCTGCACAACTACAAGCGGAGATGAGACGGCATTCGTCTACGCCACACCGACTACGCGACTCTGCCCGATGTGAGCTGAAGTTTCTCAGGTAATTGATGTCCCCTGAATTGCACCTGACCTTTCCCTTGAGTAGCAGCTGGTTCATGTTTGAAGTGAATGTTGTGTTTAGAAGTTTAGGACACTAACGTTAATTGGATTCGAAACGCCAAGAGGTCACCGAGAGGCGAATGGTGAGACAATCGATCTGGGTATTTTATGGCAGACCACAACATCCGAGCCTAACTACCTAAATAAAATAGAACTGTGACCTTTAACCTGTGTTCAAAACATTACTATAAACGACGGACTCCCCGAGTCCACATTCATTTTCGAGAAATCTCCATCTGGCTTCATTAAGAGGATCAGAAATGGCAAAAGGCACCAGAAAGTCATCACGGCTTCCCATCCCGCTCGATACTTTTCACCCTGCCCACAAAACCAGACGCTTTTTCCATTCCCTCGCGATGATAATCCATGCCCACCGCGTCGGGAGAGCACCTAGCCGCCTGCGGCCCTCTGACCCAGCCGATCCGGGATCCCTGTCATCACGAACATCTCAGAGACAGACAGGAAACGTTCAATAGCACCGTGCCCTGACCTCGGCTACCCACCGGGCAGTGTGCCCTGACCTTAACCACTCAGCGAGTCACCGCGGCCACCCTACCTGTCCCTCCCGGCTCCGGCGCGACCCGCGGAGTCTATTGACCGGCCCACTGAGCTGTCGAGCTGCCCGGAGCTGCCGACGAGATACCGGGTCCCGGGAATCGACCCCACTATCGGGCTTCCCGAGCCGCCGGCGGGAGCTGTCCGGGCTCGGCGACGACACAGTTGTCAGGGAGGAATATGTGATACAGGAGCGATCCCTGTTCCGGGACTGTCACGAGCAATCAGAGCTACTGGGAGCTGTCACAGTCATCAGAGAGCTGGGATACAGGGGCAGTCCAGGTCTCTGGGCACTCAGGAGCCATCAGAGCTACTGGGAGCTGTCACAGCAGAGCTACCGCGCTGTCGGAGCCACCGATCCGTAAGAGGGAGCTGCTCCAGCCACTGGGAGCTGTCATAGTCATCAGGGAGCGACTATCTTCAGGAGTCCAGTTCCCGGGCAAAGCCACTGCGAGTTACCACAGCTGTCGGGTCTGAGCTACCGCGCTGCCGGAGCCACTGAGTCGTCACAGCTACCGTTTGCCGCAGCTCTCGGGAGCCACTCAGACGCTCAGCTAGAGGCTACTGTCAGGGGCTCGTCTGGGTAGCCGATCGCGTGTATTACGCCGCTGCCCAGACTGGCTATCACAGCGCCATCCGTGCTGAACGCGCCAGCTCGGCACGGCCCGGGGCCGCCTGGCATTCCGGGTGGACGGCTGACGGCTGGCACGAGTATAACTTGGAAGCAACAGGGCATTGGAGGCCGTCAGTGGTTACGAACACTGACGCGAGATATTTGAGACGAACAGCATGGATGGTGAAAAAGAAAGACCTGGAAAAGAAAGACCATAGGGATGAAGGAGGATTGCCGGGAATGGATTTGGTTAATACGTCAGCCAATGTTGGATTTATTTTTGTATTAGTCTTCAGTATCATCTTTTGACGTTTGATTAATTCAAGTTGTCAATTCCGTCTGGCCAATGTTCCGGCACTATAATAAAAGATATGGAAAGTACGTCATCAGACAAAAAAGATTATATAACACAGAATAAATGACGACCAAATATAACAAAACAGGATGATGGCCAGACTTTGAATTCCATTGAAGCGTATCTTAGTTAGGACTGGCAACTAAAACTGGAGCTTCATACATCTGTGACGCATCACCCGCCCAGTGAGCGTCCTAATAATAGTTCATATCAAAGTATCTACTTGCGAGACGGATGTGCGGCGAAGTGCGCAATACAAAACGAGCATGATGAAAGAATGAATGACGAAATGTATGTGCAAAAATATGCAGGTCAGAATAAATGTCCTCCTTTCAGTCTACTCACAGTGAAAAAAAAAACTAGCGAAAGGACCGGAATGTGGTTAGATTACCAGCTACCGCGCGGACCACGACTGAAACCGGCGGAATGACGCCCATTATTTGCATGATCGTCTGACGGGCGGTCAGCGCCACGCAAGGCCCATGTTGGGCAGGAGGCAGCGCCATGCAGGCATCACCTGATGCAACGAACCACGGCCTGCCGCCCCTGACCGAGCGGCCGGCAGGGGAATGACCTTCGAGGGGACGGCCTCAGCGGGGCGGGGGAGGGAGGGAGGGAGGGAGGGGTACGAGACAGGGGCCGCGGCGGGGGGAGATTGGGCGCTGGCACAGGTGTTTCCGATGCCACACTGCAGATAATACCCACGACCGACCGGAGTGGCCGCATGACAGCTCTAACATGTCGATTGCAGATGGTCTCAGACGTCTGTTTCGAAGACTGGTCTGAGAGGGCCGATCTAAAACTCCAAACAGCTCAGCCGGTCTAAGGAGTCCAGATAACAGGAGAGGCGAGACGGAGCGGGATGGAGCAGCACACTCGTCCATCGACAGGCCATACGTTCAGCACATGTCGTGACCGCAGGACCGGTGTTCCGTGGCCGATACTCATTGTCTGACGATTACCGGCGTCATGGAACAGTGAGCACTGGAACGTGGCCAGGAACCGCATCCGCTTCTGATAGCAGGGCGAGACGGTACCCCAGTGTCCAGTGCTCAGTATGATAATGAGTGGACGCGGGAATTTCGCCTAAAAATAGATCGATTGAACGGTAAAACACAATCCAGACTTGATAGGAGCTTCATGAATGAATTTCGCAGGTACGAAAGACGATTAATTTTTTCACCTTTTAAGGTCCATGCTTAATTTGATTATCATTAAAAATATGTTATCTTTGATATATATGATGCCGTATATATGATGCAGCTAGCTCCGGACGTCTCAGTGGAACTTGTGCCTTATCCAGCCGAAATACACCCTCTTGAGCGCCATCTGGGAAAGGCCTGAGCGCCGCCAGGCGGACAAACGTGAAACCACCGAGTAAACGACAGAGGTCGCTGTCTGTGGCAGATGTCGCTCCTGTGAGCAAGAGGTGACGACTAAAGGGCAGATGAAAAACATAGGGGGATGAAAAAGCCGATAAGTCTACTGGGAAAGACAACCTGGACACTATACCCAGATGGCCTTATAGCTGATTCACTGCTGTCAAGGCTCAGTGGCAATTGGTAAAGCTAATTCACAGGAAATTAACACGCAAACTCAACCGCGTGTGAGATGGGATCTGCATTGTCTGAAAAAGCGCATTGTCAATAAGGCACTAGCATGCAAAAACAAAATGTTTTGTACTCACATCATCGTTCTTTGCATTCTTCTTCTTCACTTCCTTTTGCTTCTTCTCTTTCCTCAAGAAGCTGAAGCTACGGAAGCTTATCTTCTTTTTCACCTTCTTCTCCTCCTTCACTTCTTCCTTCGCCTCTTCCTTCTTCTCCTCAGCCTGATCTCCATTGGTGGCCTCCTTTCCATTTTCGCCTCCCCCATTCACACCATGGGCATCTCCGCCGCCGTTCTGGGCGACCTCGGGCTGCTGAAACCAAGAGGACGGCGTGAGAAACACCAAGAAAAGCCTTTGAACCGGCGCCGGCGCGCGTTAATCACCGCCAGTAGGACGGGGATACAAAGACAGCTTCCCACAGGGTAGGTCCCCATGGGGTAGATCACGTTAAACGGCCACAAAACCGGCAAATGGCTGCCGCCACACGGCGCCGCTGAGCTCCGAACCGGTCTCAACTCGCTCCTAATCCCGGCCACAACCGGTATATCACACCTGTCTGCCAGTCTGCTCTGAACGCTCCCAGCCCGAGGATATCGTATCTGGTGCCAGAGTTACAGGATCCCCAACCCTTCAGCCTGCGCCGGTCATCGTGGAGGGGACAGCACTGTTATTTCAATATTGTTACATCAGATGTATCGTCTCATCTTGTCTGACTATCTGATCACTGGACACGTGCCTGACCTGACCTCACAAAACTTAACCCTGTGTTGACCTTATGATGACCTCGTATTGATCTCATTATCAGTGATCCCATTCTGGCCTCACGATCGGTGATATCCTACTGAACTCGCCATCACTGACCTTACTGAGCTCGCTAACACCGACTCCCTACTCACCTCAGTCTTAGTGATCTGGGCAGCGGCGGCGTCACCATTGGTAGCCTCTACCGGCTCCTTGGTGGCCTCCTTGACCTCGATAGCCTCTACGGCGGCCTCCGGCGCCCCGTCCTTCTTCGGGGTGTCGGTGGTCACTTGGAAGGAGCGCTTGCTCTGCTTCAGACCCATGGCTTCTTCAGAAAGGTCACTCTGTGGGTAAAGAAAAGGGGTGTGTCAGCGGAGACAGGAGTGTCAGTAGTGCACACCAATAGAAAACAGATGTGTGTCAGAATAGTTGGGGCGTGTCAGAAAAGATGGAGTGCGTCAGAAGAAGCCACCATGTGTCAGAAGAGGCCACGGTACGTCAGCAGAGGCCATGGTGTGTCAAAGGATGCTTGGGTGTGTCAGAGGAGGCTAGGGTGCTTCAGAAAAGGTTGATGTGTGTCAACAGAAGGCAGGGTATGTCAGAAGAGCTGAGTGCCAAAGAGGGGATAGTCAGATACACGGAAACAATGACAGGAAATGGCAGGCGACCCGACGTTATGAGTCTTCATATGAGCACGAACACAGCACCAAACAAAGAGCCCGCAAGCATCCCCTCCGCTGCCTTTGAACCCAGCAGTATCTGTATAAAAGCAGCATTATCCCTACTGCGCCCCGTATCAGCTCGGATTGGCTAACGTAGGTCAACCCACAAGCCTTCACTGGGTACGAATTTGAGCCCAACACCGGATCCACTTTGTTTCGTGGTTGCATCAGTGCAATTCCGTATAAGAAACTGAGACCACATTTGGAAAAGTATCGATGCTATCCTCACTTCAAAGAAACGAACATAAAAACCGGAACATCTTCTCTGGCATCCCCGGTATTGAGCAAGACACGCCGGAGCAATGGCAGGAACGCAGAAAACGCCGGAGATTTACGAGCAACCGATAAATCAGACTGCACGCAACATTATCTTCAATCGACATTGCTTGTGCACTTCCAGCGAACAGCATCAGAGGCGCAGGAAAAGACGCTTCAACCAGGAAAACTGGCTCTTCTCAAAGCTGCAATCAAATGCCGACGATTATTCGCAATCAGAATTATTATGTCCGACACGCATGAAGGAGATAATGACTTGTATTCCAAATGCTACCACAAATCACAGCACAGGTGACTGTTCTTGATGACACAGATCTTGTGTGCTGTTGTCAAACCAGGCCGAACGAGAATTAAGCGCGGCGACTGAACGATTCCAGCTTCTCCAACAAAGCCGACTCATGATCCTCACCCCCAGTCCCCTGCACGGCCGTCCCGCGGCGCAAATCGCCTCTGGGTCGTGAGGTGAATGTCCGCCGTCCAGCGGTGACAAGCTTGTACCGCTATCGCCAGCATCCTGTGCAGTGGCCACTTCCTGTCCACAGCACAGCGAGCCAGTGACGAAAGCGCTGGCTGCAGAGGGAATCATGCGCGCGCGGTTTCTCCTCAGCAAGTGGCAACTCATCGCGTCTGATCACACACAGACAACCCAGCCCATCAAGCTTAAATGTAAGAACCTCTCAGTTTCCTCTACAGACACCTTACAAGACACAAACTGTCCGCGAAACTCCCCCGAGCCGCCGAAAACTAGCCCTCTTCCCATGCTCTTCACGACCCGCGCTCGTCCATTGTCCGAGGAGCGGCGTGGCGAGCCGGAGGGACAACACAATGGGTCTCCGAGGTCCGTCCCGTCCCAGTCCTTCTCGCTCGCCGGTCGGGCCACTCAGCCATTCTGACCCCGTTCAACAGAGAGAAGAGGGCGTCTAACAGCGGGTCTCCAGGCCGCCGACCCCAGCGAGACGACGCGCCGGCGAGACGCTTCACACGAGTGTAGCGACTGGCTACAGTTTACCCAGTCAGACAAAGAAGCAGAGACGCCTCACTGGAGTGGAGGCATTGAGAGGGTGCTTCTACGATAGTGCTGGCGCCTCTCAGAGCACTCGAGTAAACAGCGGATAACCATCAGGTCACGACCCCAAAGCTACCCGCAGTGTGTGACGTAGATGAGTCAGGTGTAATAAACGGTAACGAGACAGGTTGATCCAGTGTGGTGACTGATCACAAAAACAGCGATAAAGAAAATGACGTAGGTACGTCTTTGTTGATGACGAAAGAAAACGAAACAGAAAACGACAATGTTCTAGAATCGCTTACACACTGCGTTAGTGATAAGCTCATGGTCATTGCAGCTGAGCCCATCTTGTTGATCTTTATGTGATCGGAGCCCAGCTGTCGTCTGCCCCATGGTTAAAGCTTTCTGGGATGATTTAGGCGCCGTACATTGTGCGAAATGTCCCCTGAGCTGCATAACCTACAGTCCAGTATTTTGTAAAGCACACAGACAGCAAGCAGCCCAGCCACAGCCTGCAGTGCAGCAGCCATAGTGGACAGCCCCGCCCAATGTGGACAACCAGCAGCTCTCCCACCCCGCCGGTCACAGCCCACCCACTGTGGACACAGAACAGCCCCTGCCAACAGCGCGACCTGCCACAGTCGGACCAGGCCGACCGCAATATCGCAATCAGACCGGTTGTCGCCAGATTACCGCACCGCTCGCCGACTATTGCTGTGTGCACAGCGTCTGATCTGACACAGCGGACGCCGATGGCGGAGCCAGGACGGCGGCTGGTGGCAGCGGACAACACGGCGGCGCCCGAGGTCATGGTCGTGTTACGGGTCCGAAAACGCCAGGTGATGGTAGCGAGGCTGACTACACGACAGGGTTCTTTGTGATGATTGTTGTGATGGTCGGCTCCCGCGGGCCGGGTCGGAGCAGCGCGGGCAGATTAGTTTAGTATCCATATATGGCGAGCAGGTAGAAGATTGGTCAATTACATGACGTGGCGCAGCTCCCAACTACCGTGTCGGTGATTCGGCGGCGCCTCTGACGACTGGTGACGGTGCGTCATCAGCGGCGCCGGCACGTCATCAGAGGGCGCCGGTGCGTCATCGGCGACGCGACACTGGTTGGATCGGGTCCAGTCAGAGATGGCGTAAAACTCACCAAATCGTGGAACATCAACCATGCGTCAGAACGCCCCGAGTTTCATGCCATCCACCGTCCTCACCTGCCGCCACACTCGACACGACCATCGGGCGGGCAGATGTTTACCAAAACCCGCCGGCTCACATCCTTCCCATCCACCGGGCCACCTTGAGCTAATGCAGTCGGAAGGCCGCCGCTGATCCACAACAGCCGTGCAGCGCTGGAGCCCGTCCGGAGTCGATTCGGCGCACGTACAAACAACGGGCACATCAGTCACGCAAGGTCATACAGATCCGCGTTTCGTGCAGCGTACCCCGCTGATGGCAATGAGCGGTGAGCGGAGAGTTGGGCAGCGACAGCTGCAGCGGGCGCCCCAAGCTCCTAGCGGCTGCAGTAGCCTCTCTACTTTTAGGCCTTTTAGCAGCTGTTACCCTGAGGCAAGCACCAGCTGCCTTGATCTCTCCACTCCTCCGCAGCTGTTATTATCTTGTTCACGGCAGCTGCCGTGTCCTTCCACAGCACTCACCAGCCGCCGTGACCTCCTTGGGCCCTCGGCAGCTGCTGCCTCCTGTTCTGCTGCCTCTTGTTGCCGGCAGCTGGCGTCCCCCCTCCCCCCTACCGTCCTCGACTGCTGCCTCAGGCGGTCAGGTGTGGCCAGATAAGCCAGTCGTGGCGTCGAGCCGTCTGCCACCCCTTCACTGAACGCCGGGAGTCCAGCCGTTCACAGCAGGCCGGGTCCGGTCGGCCGCCGCGGGTGGTCAGACCACGTCGGCAGACATCACACAGTACCCAGGAAGCTATCTCCCTGTTTGTCTCCACGATCCACCACGCACTGTCCGTCTCGGCGGCTTTGGTGCAGAGTTTCCTCTCTACACAGCTGTTGCTAGTGTTTGTATGACAGAGTGACGTGACAAGGCATCACAAAACAAGCGGAAGGAGCCGTCCATCTCCCGCGCAGGCTAGGCTGTCCCTCGTTCTGTGCGCAGTGGACGCGGAAGTACGGCTGGCCGACGGACACACGTGATGACCCAGGCGGTCAGCGGCGAACCGAACCGAACCGAACCGGGCCAGACCGGACCAACGGACCGACCGACGGACAGACAAACAGCGGGCGGCGAGCGGCGATCACAGGGCTGATCGGCACTCCCCTGCGGCCCACCGGCGGCCCGCAGACAACAAACACGACCCACGGCGCTGGCGGCCGACACGGGGACGTGAGGCTCCTAGTGGACGGAGCTGTGGACGTGATCGCAGGCGACTGGAACAGACTGGACCGGGTCACGCCGGACCGGACCGGATTGGACCATAAGACAGGACAGTGGACCGGGCCGGACCGGGCCAGACTTAGACAACCGGACTGGACTGGAACTTGAGTCCAATCGATCGGCGACTATCGTCCGCTGAATCATCCAACATCCACAGACCACCGACCGCTGGACACTGATGAGTAATGAATGTGTTATCGGCGAATGACGAATCCAGTTGCTCCATCCTACGCAAAACCCACGCAGTAACGCTACCACTAACTGCCTCCGTCATCCCTAGCCGCTCGTGCTGTCCCCGTCACCACCAGAATTAGACGTCCGTCGTGAGAGCGAGCGACACAGTATCGACAGGCCACCGATCAGCGATGCTAGCGCCTCATGACAGCTGCAGTCGCTGGGACAGGGCGGGCGGGGCGGGGAGGGGCTGGGCGGAGAGGGTGGGTCCGCGACAGGCAACAGGTCTTCCACGTGACTGTCCGTCGGAGGTCGGTCGCTTCTTCACCTGTTGCGCCTACTCGAGCTGGCACGCAATACTACTGCGATCGCACAGATGACAGACCAGATGCAAAGAGACGATGATGAATAGGACAATCAACTACACAATACATATTACATATTGGTAGATATTTAGTATTCACCAACGATTGCCAGCATCAGACGACCATTCCAATTGTGGCGGACGGTACTTGATCATCTTGACCCAACACGACGAGAAGACGCTAAATTAACGGACAAACAACTCGATGTTTGTACAGGGCTGTACAGTCTGTCTTAAAAGTACCGCGCAAAGTGACGGTGGATCCATCAAGCCTGACGGAGAAAGGGCCTGCTTTAATTTGAAAGTCACCGACCAATTGACCTAGGGAATGGACGAGGATGTCAATTGCTTCGGTGACCCAAATTTAGCAGGCCCTTCCTCAGTCAGGCTCTATGGATCC